ATTAAGAAATGTTTAAATAAGAAGAATATAAGTGGACAAATGTTCCAATTACTGAGCTTTTTTAAAAAATCAAATCACCTTTGCCCGTTACAATATTATTTAAAGATTATAGCATAGTTTGGAACAATGAATGGTGCTGAGTTCTAGTGAAGAGAATAGTGTTATCCACCTTTCCAAAACCATTCAGAGAAACAGCTTCCATAAAATGGCAATTATTGTTCCCACAGATAAAGCCCACAGTTCTATTGTCTTTCTTAAAAGTCAGAAAGACCTTTCAGGCCCATGTTTTTAATTCCTGCAGAACAAGGACATATTTTCTTCCCATGAAAAGCTTAATATTCTACTTGACCTTATATTCTATGAAAAAGGACACTTAATTTTGATTGTCTTTACATGCCCAAAATATATTGCTTGATCTATCAGGAGGGGTTTGTGTTCATTTCTTTAAAAAAATGAAATAGCTTTATCCTTGAGTTGCAGTAAAGGAACAGCAGGTGACCATTGTCAGTTATAAGGACATGGCACCATAATTTAGTGCAGCTAATTTAGCTCCAATACTAAAATGATTCTGTTCCTTAAATCAGGTAATAATCCTACCCTCATTGTTTTCCTTGGATGAGACCTAACTACTTGCAGGTCACAGATAATTATTGCAAAATAATTCTCAAGATGTGTTTACTGAAGGGGAGCAGGCTAAGTATTGGAGAGCAACCTCTTAAGCAGGAATAGGCTTTTAACATATGACTTTAGTATTGAGAGCTAAAGTCAAGCAGATGCTTCAGTTAAAAAGTAGTACGAGACAGCTTTCTCCCTTAGCTTCTGGCTGCTGCAACTGGGCTATCTGGGCTAATTTGCAGGCCATATATTTTCATTAGAAGAAGTGAATGCCATGACTTTGTGATAGCAAAAAATAATAATAATAACTTGAGATGTTCCTGGAAAACCCCTGGAAATGAACCATAGCAATTGTTACCCACATCTCAGATTAAAAGTGAAATGAAAAAGAAGAGGGAATTGCACGAGCTTTATAAAGCACACTGGGCACATTTCTGGCTTTGCAAAACTTTTCTTTTTCCCATGATAATACAGAACATCCTCCAGTTTTCTTAGTGAAGAATATGTTCCTTAACTTCCCCAACAAACACCAGAATTCTGTGCAATTTTACTTATACAGTAAAGAATACAGAATAACTGAGTTGGAAGGGACCTTGGAGGTTTTCTAGTACAACCACACGCTCAAGCATAAACCCTATACCAGCGATAATGAATCTTTTCAGCACCAAGTGCCAAAAAGATCACATGGAAACATCATGTGTGTGCGTGCTCATCGTGGCTGCGCTCTGGAAAAGCTGAACTTCCAGGTTCTGGCACATATGCATGCCTGACGATCAGCTGGCCGGCATGCATGCACAGCCCAGTTTTCGGCACTGTCACGTGTGTGAAGTTATCGCGCTCCGGAAAGGCTGAGCTGATTGTCATGTGCACCTGACAATCAGCTAGCCGGCGTGCATGCACATACTGGTTTTCGGCACTGTCGCACACGCAAAGGACAGCTGATCGTTATGCATGCATATGTGCCAGAAACCCGGAAGACATACAGGCAAGGCTGCACGTACTGGGAGACATGGCTTTGTATGCCATAGGTTCACCATCACAGCCCTTTACTATTTGAGATAAATGGTTGTCCAATCTCTTTTTGAAAACCTCTTTGAAGAGGTACTTTGAAGAATAAGTCAACCTCTTTTCCTCTGTGACAGCCCCTCAAATGTTGGAAGACTGATCTAATGTCACCTCTCATCTTTCTCTTCATTAGACTAGACTGCATACTTCTCTCCAGGTTGATGAGTTCCATTAAGGATTACACATTGAATGTGGTTGATCAGCCAGTTATGAATCCCTCTGGTAATAATGCTGTCTGTCCCACATTTTCTGACTTACCGAGAAGTACACTGTGGTCTACTTTGTCAAATGCTTTATTGAAATCTAAGTAAACTATGTCTACAGTAGCTGACTGATCCATTAATTTAGTCACTTTGTCAAAGAATGCAATAAGGTATGTCTGGCATGATCTGTTTTTGACAAACCCATGCTGGCTTCTAGTAATAGCTTTGCTTGTTTCTTTGTTTTTCTGTTTCTGTGTTTGCAGATCCGTTGCTTGATTATCTTATGCTGGGCTATACTGTAGATGTCATTTTTACTTGAGAGTGAGCCTCAATGGAATAACTACAAGTTCTGTCTGGATAAATATACTTCCCTTTATGAAGCAATGAATATTTTCATTAAAAAAACTCTTTCAAATACCATTATTTTCCAGCCCATTGATACTTCAGTATCATACTAATGTAGGGCTGTTAGCTTCTTTGCAGCCTAGATTAATAACCATTTTAGGATTTTCTCCCAGATGGTGGTCTAATAAGTTTCACTAAATTATGTTATACTATTTTAAAAGGTTGGGAAGAGTTCAAAAGGCAATCCCATTCCGCCGATATTTTAGCAAAAGGGCACATATTGAAATGGTGCTCTGTTTCTCTTTAACATGGTTGGGTAGCTGGTGAAGTTTGCTTCAGGACAGCCCTGTCTGCTTATTTATTTAATTGTTTTTTATTTACTTATACATGAAGTTTGGAAATTGTCTTTTTCACTCATAGAATGATTCTGAGTGGTGTTTAATTAAAACATTAAAAACATATACATGTTGTATTCCAATAGGAGGTGGTTAAAACAGGGATAAAATAGCAGGAGTTAAAAAGGTGAGGGGAAGGCCACCAAGGCACTAGCCATCACACTTTATTTATTTGATATATATCCTACTTTATTTTATACAATTGAATATTGTATATGTAATGTCCTGGCTCCTATTTTCTCACAAAGGCTAGATGACAAAGGCTAGATTGTGGAGAGAGAGAGAGAGAGAGAGAGAGAGAGGGAGAGAGAGAGAGAGAGAGAGAGAGAGAGAGAGAGAGAGAGAGAGAGAGAGAGAGATAGAGACAGAGAGACACTAGTCCAATCCAGGGAAGACTAGAACTCATGGGATGACAACTTTTTGTCCAGGGCCTTAATTACTATACCATTTTGGCTCTCATTTCATGTGGAATTCAGACAGATTTCCAACACTTCGTATGATTCTTTTTTTGCAAAATTATCTGTTCATTCCACAACAGTTTGTTCTCTCTCTCTCCCTCCTTCCCTCCCTCTACCCACCCCTCCCTCCTTCTCTAAAAAACACCATACCGGGAACCACAAAACCCTTCGTTCTCCCTCCCTCCCTCCCTTTGTCCCTCTGTCCCTCCCTCCCTCCCTCCCTCCCTCTCTCTCTCTCTGTCTTAGGTGCTCACTGAGCTCTGAACTATATATTTCTATTGTGTGTATATGTGTGCATTTGGGAGGGAGGAATAAAATATGAAAAAGGGAATGGAGAGGTAATAAGGAGAAATAAAGGTGTTTATTAAAAAGGAAATGCATGTCCCCACTCATTTGTGCTTCAGTCCTTGTTCACTTGTTTCAGTTCCACAATCAGTTGGCAGGAACTCTCCAAGAGAATGCAGGCTTTGACAAATGTGGTTTTCTCTATTAAATTATTTTCCCCCAAATAATGCCCCAAATTCATTTAAGAGGCAGAAACCTATGGCACTAAATACATTAACTGAATTTCATTTTTTAAACTTGAAGTCAAGTTCCTATGACAAACTGTTAAAAATTCAGGGTCAATTTTTTCAAAAGGCTATTAATCTGCGGTTCAATGATGCATCATGTGCAGCAACTTTGAAATTATTTGGGCAAAAGTATTTATGAAGGATGTGGACTAACATGGCAGTTCACAGCCCTTTCTGAGTAAAATCTCAGCAGGTCAAAAGATCTAAATTCTACCACAATAGTCTAACTCATGGAAATGATACACTGAATGTTCAAGTATTTTAAAAACAGAGATTATAATTATAAATGTAATGCCTTTCTTCAAACACATAACTAACCAAATACAGCTAGTTCTCAACTTATAACCACAGTTGGGACTGGAATTTCAGTGGCTAAACAAGATAGTTTAAATGAGTCATGCCCAATTTTACCATCTTTTTTGACAGGATTGTTATGTGGTTGTTAAATGAAGCATGGAATTTGCATGGATTAAGCAAATCTGGCTTCCCCCATTGACTTTGATTTTTGGATGTCATTTGGGAAGGTTGCAAATGGTGTTCAGATTCCCCTGGATGTTGCAATCATGCCAGTTGCCAAGAGCCTGAATTCTGATCATGTGACTGCATGGATGCTATGAGTTGTAAGAGGATCTGTGTTAAGTCACTTTTTTCAGTGCTGTCGTAACTTAAGACAGTTGCTAAACAAATGGTAGTAAGTCATGAACTGCCTGTAAATATCTAGTTTCTTCCTCATCCATGGATTAAACTATTGAAATTGATAGAAAAAAATATTTAGAGAGTATGTAAAAGAGTTTATGTATTGTTCTATCCAAGGGAAAAACAACAGACCTGGGGAAAGGAAGAAACAAGAAACTGAGAAACCATGTAAGTAATCTATTAGAACATTAGAGTAGGATATATATATATAAACCAGGGTGAAATCTACTTACCTGCCCTACCGGTTTGGAAGTGCGCGCACCATGGTCACATCCAATTTTTTACCCTCTGTACATGCACAGAAGGCTTTGCACATGTGCAAAGGGTTAAAAACCAGGAAGTAATGGTGTCTGGGCAGGTGGGCGCAGCCTCATGCTGCCGCTGCTACCGGTTCACCAAACCATGTGCCGCTGCCATCGGCTTGCATGAGCCAGACAGAACCAGCAGGATTTCACCACTGATATAAACCCCAGGTCCCTCATTATTTAAAACTGAAAACTACAGACACCAGGTCCCAAAGAAATGAACACCCAGTGTTATATGCCTAATATAACATTTTTGAACTTTTTAAAGTTTCCCCATACTCCAATTTTTTCTTTTTGCTGATAATGGGATATTACTACCAAAAGTCAAAGAATGAGAAGATTACTATTGTGAATAGTCTAAATGCTATTTTTAAATATTAGCACTCTAGCACAGTTGTTTAACTTGAGATACCCTTCCAGGGATGTTGTTGGATATTGTGTGAGTGTGTGCCTTTGAGTCAGTATTGATTCCTGGATACTGCTTGGACCAGTCCTTTTCTTGGCAAGTTTTTCAGAAGTAATTTGCTATTTTCCTAGGGATGACAGAGAGGAACTGGCCTGAGGTCATTCAGCTGGCTTTTTGCCTAAGGCAGGACTAGAATTTAGGTTTCCTGGTTACTAGCCTGATATCTTAATCACTATAGCAAACTCGCTGTCATGTTGTTGAACTGCAGCTCCAGATACTGTTGGAATGCAACTGCCATAGTCTTTGTTCGTGGTGGCTAGGTGTGATGGCACTTGGAGTTCAGTATCATTCTATGTGTTCAATCTTTGCTCCTAATGCCAGAAAATGGGAAAAATAGAGACAGCTATTTACAACATGATAACCACCTGTAAATTCATTGATGGATACAACTATATTATCAAGGGCTGCTTGATTACACCATTCAGCTATCACCACAACATGGTGAGATAAACTTTGCTGCATTCCATCACACATAAAAGAAATGATAGAACTTGAAACAGCAGTGGCCAGGTTATTTCTTTAGAACTAAGTTATCTTTTGACATACTTCCTCTATTATAGAAAGAGCACAGAATCATCCACTTTCTTATCGGAAGACCTCTATCAATACCAGATAATAGAGACTCTGATCTCTTTGTTTCAGATAGTATGTCTTATGAGTCTCTTATCCTTTTAGTTTAGGATTCAGTTAGTCCAGAAACTTATAAACAATAGGCAAAGGGGAATGATATTATTCTGTCAATTTTTTTCCATTGACTCCTCTATCTTTAGAAAAAATCCTTTTAGTACTGAAAATTTTTCTATAGTTTAGAAATACCGACTGATTTGAGATCTTCATGTATTTCTGAAATGCTGAAGAGATGCACTGTTTTACTTTCGATTTTCAGTGAAGATAATAGTAGCAGCATTGGGTTAGAGTTTTTATTGTCCAGGTTGTGTATATGAATCAGTAATTCCTAAAGAGAATAGACTAGGTTTATCTGGACACTGTTTTGAAGTAGCAATCAGAAGCACCACAGGTTCTAAGCATCACTAAGACATAGATATGTTTTAAAGAACAGAATTATTTTTTAAAAAATCTTTTGGCATGACAAACCTTATTGCCTTCTTTGAGAAAATGACTAAATTAGTGGATCATGAAAATGATGTGGATATAGTATATTTGGACTTCAGTAAGGCATTTGACAAAATACACCACAGTGAGAAAGAACAATGTGGAATAGACAGTACCATCAATGGATGGATTTGCAATTGGCTAACCAACTGTGCTCAGCATGCAGTCTCAATTGAGCTATATCTACATGGAGGAAAGCATGTGGTGGGGTACCTCAAGATTCTGTCTTGGCCAGGTGCTCTTTATCTAGATGAGAGAATAGAAGGGGAAATCAAATTTGCAGATAACATCAAGTTGGGGGAAATTGCCAACAATTTGGAAGACAGATGCAGGGTTCAGAAAGATTTTGATAGACTTGAGCTTGGGCCCTATCCAATGAGATGCTATGAGAAGAGTAAAGTCCTACACTTAGGCAGGAAAAAATCAAATATAGAATAGGAGGTACTTGGCTCAACAGTAGTGACTGGGAGAGGGATCTAGATATCCTTGTAGATCACCAATTAAATATTAGTCAGCAGTGTGCTGCAACTGCCAAAAAAGCCAATGATAGGCTGCATCAACAGAGGGATAGTATCAAGATCCTGCAAAGTGCTAGTATCATTTTATACTGCACAAATAAGACCACACTTGGATTACTATTTCCAGTTTTGGTCAATTTATCTATGAAACAATATAAAACATAAGTTTCATACAAACTTATTCAAACATATACATGTACATTACTTCTATAGACCCTAATTTATATAAATTGGAATCCTAAACCACATTTCACTTGGGTGAATATTCTACTGTTCTTTGCTGTTGTTGGAACTTGGGGACAAATAAAGCTATCTTGCCAACCTGAATACAAAACACATTCTATCCAACAGAAATGAATGAATGAATTTAGGACATAGATTAGGAGTCATGTTTTAGATGAGGACTAAGCACTGCTATGAAAATTCAAGATTTATTCAAAACATGGAAGGGCTAGAGAAATGTAGCAGGATCATTGCATAAAGTGAGTGAGGTTCCTAAAAGACAAAATAGTTAAAAACCTTAAAAAAGCAAGCAAATGCAGAAAAATAAACAAAGAAAAGTATTAAAGGCCCTAAGACAGTCTTAAATCATGTTTACCAACATTACCAATAGTAAGTGACATGATATGACATGAGTGACAATATGTTCAATATTTGAGGGGCTGCCATAAATTTAATTTTCCAAAGTCACAGAAGGCAGGACAAGAAGCAATGGGTGAAAACTAATCAAGGAGGGAAGCAACCTAGAACTAAGGAGGAATCTCCTGACAGAGCAATTAATCAATGGAACAGGTTGCATACAAAAATTGTGGGTTCTCCATAACTGGAGGTTTTTAAGGACACTCATTTGTCCAGAATGGTATAGGCAGGGTCTCCTGCTTACACAGAAGGTTAGACTAAAAACACCTCCAAGGTCTCTTCAAACTCTGTTAGTCTGTTAGTCTGAGGTATTGGAAATATGAAAAAGGTTGCTTACAGGAAGTATGTTGCTTTCATATTGCTAGTTAGCTAAGCTAGAGAGGTATTCTTGTTTTATCCCCACTTAAACGAAATATAGACTCACCAAACTATCCAATCAGAAAAGACCATCTAGTCCAGAATCCAAAGACCCCAAGTGGTCAAGGTCAACTTCCAAGGGTCGATGAGACTATTCATTGTTGCTATTGCTGTTACTAATAGTACTATTAAAGTAGTATTTATTAAATTATTTTCATATAATAAATGTTTGGAGGTTGATGAAGTCTTCATGAAAAGGTCAACAAGCTGAAACATTTAGAAACTCCTGATTTAATCCAATCTTCTGTGCTCTGCAAGAAAACCCATTGAACCATTTTAAAAGACAGTTTTCCAGACTTCTTAAATGGACAACCCATATAGGGGAATTGTTTGACTGATCTACAGATCATACATTTTGCTTAGCAAAATTTGGGTAGCTTGACCCCAATATAATATAGCAATGGAATTGTTGACTATCTTCATTATGGCACCTTTTATGTATTCAAGTACTGATACCATATCAGGCTGAACATCCCATGTTTTGTTCAGCCTGATCTTCTTTGGCATGTCTTCAAATTTCTATACCATTTGTTACTTGCTCTAGAACAGTTCTAACTTGCCTGCATCCTTCTGAAAATGCAGAGCCCAGAATTATACACAGTACTTCAAGTGTGGTCTCTGTTGTGACCTAGGCTTACTTAGTCATTACAAGACACAATTAGTCCCAAACAAAACTATTTTATTATAACAGCTGGGAATTACTTCATTCCCAGCTTAGTCCAAATTAATTCCAAAATGAGTCCTTCAGAAAAAGTCCTTCAGGCTTATCACAAACCTTTATCTTCTTTGGCACCCTGCCAAAGGCCTTTCTTGGCAAAGCCCCATGAAGTTCAGAAACAAGAGACGCTGACTGGAAACAGATTTAGCAACATTGCTTTCCTACAAAGAGCCCAAGAGACTTTGCTGCTCTTTTAAGCCTTATGGGAGGGGGCAGTCATCTCCTAGCCTTACTCCCAAGTTGTCCCTTTTGCTTTAGCTGCTCTTGCCTTCTGGTAGCTCTGCACATGAGTGCACTAGGAACAGGCTCCTCCTGTTCCTCTGCCTCTCTGCTGTCTGACTCTGGAGGGTCCGGAGTCCGCGCATCACTCCAGATGGCCCTGGCCCCATCTCTGCCTATGACGCAGAGCCCTTGTCTAGGCCTTCCCCAGACTCAAGGACTGGCCAATGGTCCCCCCCAGCCTCCTCATTGTCCGACTCCGCTGCCAGCTCCACAGGCTGCTGGTGGACCACAACAGTCTCACCAGTGAAGAGCAAAAGAGACTAAATATCTTTAGGTGTTGTTTATGCAATGTTTCTTCTAGTGCATCTCAAAAGTGTAGCTGGCTTACACTACTGGCTCACCAATAAATTGTTGTCAATGTCCATATACTCTTTCTCCAATATGTTGCTTACCTGTCCATCCTTTCTATGGGCCTTATATTTTTCCCTTAAACCTACATTTTTTCCTGTTGAAAGACATCTTGTTCCTCTCAGACCATATTAGGTTGCAATCTCCAACCATCCTGGATGTTGTTTAAGCATTCCCATTTTATGCCATTTGCAAATTTGATAAGCAGTTCATCAATTCTTTTAAAACTCAATGCACCTGACCCATCCTGCTGAGCATGGCAAGTAAACTCCTTTTGTGAGATATTATAGCTCTTGCAGCTTCTTCTAAGATATTTGACCAAGGCAAAACAATATTTGTTATTTTTAAAATTACTTTCATTTTAAAAGAAAATGCTAACTGATGAAGTTAGCTAGGGAACTAGGCTTATTACAATTATATTTTAACGTTATAGTATTTTATTGTTGTTATGAACTAATAGCTTAATATTTGTTAATTAATTAATATATTAATTGTTAATTATAAACACTGTGTACAACCAGTGGTGGGATTCAAGTAATTTAACAACTGGTTCTCTGCCCTAATGATTTCTTTCAACAACCAGTTTACCAAACTGTTCAGAAAGTTAACAACTGGTTCTCCCGAAGTGGTGCAAACTGGCTGAATCCCACCACTGTGTACAACTATTTGTTTTTGTTTTTTTATATTAAGAGTTTACCAGCAGTTGCTGGCAAGATGGGTTACAAGACAACATAAACATAGTTATAGACAACAATCAAAGACATAATTATGACAAATAAGTACTAAAATTTGCCACCTGCTCTGAGCCCTCTAAGGTAGGGCAAAGTAAACATCTAAGTAAATTAAATTAAACTGTTCTCTTATCATGCAAATTTTTATCGCACAACATTTTAAATGCTATGTTATAAATTGGTTTTAATGTTGCCACCTGCTCTGAGCTGCCAGAAGCAGGGCAGGTTAAATGTCTAAATAAATTAAATTAAATTGTCCTACTGGAATCTCAAATATACTATTCTCTGCTCTCTTACTATCTACCCTGTTCCTCTGAATTATCTTAAGTGGAAAGAATTTACTATGTTGTTGTCTTTTGAAAAATATTTCAACAGATTTTTTTTTAAATAAAATGGTCTCCAATTTTTTTCTCCAAACAACTGTTTGCCTTGTAGAGCAGTGGTTCTCAACCTTCCTAATGCCGTGACCCTTTAATACAGTTCCTTATGTTGTGGTGACCCCCAATGATAAAATTATTCCTAAAACCATTGAAAATATGTGTTTTCCGATGGTCTTAGGCGACTCCTGTGAAAGGGTAGTTCGACCCCCAAAGGGGTCGCAACCCACAGGTTGAGAACCACTGTTGTAGAGGAATTGTTGCAAAATACTTTGAGAATGTAAAAAAGTTGCAGTGGGAAACATGACATCATCCCTTTCAATACAATGTACTATAAACTATTAGACAACTTAAATTGGTTTGTCACGTGATACTAATATAGTTCTTTTTTTTTACAATTTGTTAATAGTGACTTACTACTAGGCCATCTGCTGAACAATAAGGCAGATGCAGTTCTATAAGAAACAGGAGGGGATAAGGAATAAGAATATGGAAATTATTGTTTTTATCATTTTCTTTTAGGACTCTTGTATGTTTCTTGCCTTGATCAAGAAACTGTGATAGCAGAGAGGCTAAAATGTTGGGTTTCATTAGAGAATTTAAGGATGCTATAATTAGACAGACCTTTCAGTATAGAAATTCTGTAAAACTCACTCCTCTAGGTTTACCATGTGTGTAGTTTTCCTAATAGGTTCGTGACAAGCTTAACAGCTGCCAATAATATAATTGCCATGTAGAACCAGCTTTCTGAGCTGACAGGAAGCCCAGAGAGGAGACAAAGAAAGAAGACAAACTTCGTAAGAACAGAACAAAAACAGACCAAGGCCTTTCTCCTCCCCAGAGGATTTGACTTTAATTAAAGTCTTCCCCTAATTTCCTATGCATAAAATGTTTTTCATCCTGGAAGAACAAAATGTGTGTGCGTGCATGCGTGCATGTGTGTGCAAGTGCACGTAGCCTTTGTTTACAAAATACATTTGTCAAGATTATGCTCAGGAGATGTAGCACCTCATTTTCACAAAACTCTCAGGAGGTAGCAGGTGTTTGTGAGTCTTTCTTTGCTAACACCTGGCAAATTTGTCCTCGCCAAACTGCAAAACTGCAAGTCAGTTGCCCAGGGAGGTTGTACTTCTCAAATGATACCATAGCTCATTGAGAACAGATGGTTGTCTTGCTTTTTACCTGCGTTTCTCACAAGGAATATATGTTGGGCTTTATAAATTGAATTTTCAGAGATCTTAGAGTCTCCCTCGTCTCTTTCGCAATTGTCAACTAGATATCTGTTTTTTGTACATTTTAATGGAATCAAGAGGCAAGAGAGAAATAGATGAAGCCGGCTGTTTAATATTGGGAAGCAGACGGTAAGGAAGTTATGATGAAGATTAGTCATACTTTAAAGTATAGACTTCTCTCATAACAAAGGACTTGGTCATGATGATTGCAAACTTCTTGGGTAACACTGAAAGTACACTAGCTAATAACATAGTCATGAAAATTGGAGTAGGGAAGAGTTTATGAATCAGGATCTTCTTCAATAATGAAATGTTTCCTTATTTTATGCAATCCCCAGTTCAATTGGGCTGCCACATGAATCAGCTCTATAAACCTGGAGGAATGTAATATAGCTTTTCCAGCTCTGAATGTAAATAGGTGGTTCTAAATTTCCTGTTGAAAATGATAGCATGAGAATCAAGCACCTCTTACATTGGGTTTACATTGGGTGAAACAAAGTTGATATTATATATGATAACAGCAGCGAGATTACTGATAGGTCAATACTGGAAAAATGAAGCTACGCCCACTATGGAGGAATGGACTTTGAAGATGGCCAGCTTTGCAGAGATGGCGAAGATTTCAGCATATCTAAAAGATCGCTCACAAGAGACTTATGAATGGGAGTGGAAAAAGTGGATAGATTATGTGCAGAACAAATATCAAACTAGGAAGTATCAAATAGCTTTTAACTGAAAGTATTATATAAAGATAGAAATATTTGAATTTTGTGAAGATGAAAAAATATATTGGGGGTGGAGGGGTTCAAGTTTTATAAAAAGGGGATTTTGATTTGGATTATATTCTGTGGAAGTCCGGGGGGGAGGGGTGGGTTGGGGGGGGTTAGGGAGGGTTGGGGGAGTTGGGGAGGGTTAGGGAGGTTAGGGAGGGATGGGGGGGGGAATGGGGAGAAAATGTAATTGTAAAACTTTTTCAATAAAAAAAAAAGAATCAAGCACCTGAAGGATTTTTATGTATTTGCATGTGGAGATTCCAAGGATGTGAGAATGAAAGCCAAATTGGTCTAGTGTGGCTAAGGCACTGGCTCTGAAACCAAGAGACCATCAGTTTTAGTCCTGCCTTAGGCTTGAAGCCAGCTGAGTGACTTTGGGTCATGTCTACTTCCTCTTCGCTCTTGGGAGAAGGCAAGAGAAAACTACTTCTGAACATTTTTACTATTGCCAGTAAATTGCAGGCCCTTTTCCTTGCGGTCACTAGGAGACAGGGTTGACTTAAGGGACAATAATGACAATATGTACAAGAAAATAATTGACACTGACTTCAGAAGAAGCATCACTTTTTGATAGGGGATCAATTACTCTCTGCATGGCAGAGCAATAAAATGCAAGTTAGTTGTTGGGAGACTAGAATGCACTAAAAGAAGAAGTGTGGACACATACTTATCTCCAGTGATCTATCTTAGAAGTATCTATATCATCTTAATGAGTTTACTGACTTGCAAATACTCCTGACATTTCTCACTCACCCTATGAAAGTGAGGCGCTGCTAGGCAATCAATACCT